GGTATTTGTGAACGACATGACGGAAGGAATAGACTCCTGATGGTGTCCCTGTTTGCAGATGACGTGAAGTGATGAGAAGAATTCACTCGATCGAAGACCAGGCAGAACTACAAAGGATCTGGACAGGCTGCAGACCTGGTCCAGCAATTGGCTCCTGTGTTCAATCCACCAAGTGCAAAGTCATGAAGATTGGGGAAGGGCAAAGAAGACCGCAGACGGAGTACAGTCTAGGGGGCCAGAGACTACAAGCCTCACTCAAGGAAAAAGATCTTGGGGTGAGTATAACACCAGGCACATCTCCTGAAGCGCACATCAATCAAATAACTGCTGCAGCATATGGGCGCCTAGCAAACCTCAGAACAGCATTCCGACATCTTAATAAGATCGGTTCAAGACACTGTACACCGTGTACGTTAGGCCCATATTGGAGTATGCGGCATCAGTTTGGAACCCACACCTAGCGAAGCACGTAAAGAAACTAGAGAAAGTGCAAAGGTTTGCAACAAGACTAGTCCCAGAGCTAAGAGGTATGTCCTACGAGGAGAGGTTAAGGGAAATCAACCTGACGACACTGGAGGACAGGAGAGATAGGGGGGAATGATAACGCACATATAAAATACAGGGAGGAATTGACAAGGTGGACAAAGACAGGAGTTCCAGAGATTGGACACAGTAACAAGGGACACAGTTGGAAGTTGAGACACAGATGAATCACAGGGATGTGGGAAGTATTTCTTACAGCCACAGAGTAGTCAGGAAGTGGAATAATTTGGGAAGCGATTAGTAGAGGCAGGATCCATACATAGCTTTAAGCAGAGGTATGATAAGCTCACGGTTCAGGGAGAGTGACCTAGTAGCGACCAGTGAAGAGGCGGGGCCAGGAGCTTGGACTCGACCCTGCAGCCTCAACTAGGTGAGTACAGCTAGGGTGAGTACAGCTAGTGAGTACAGCTAGGTGAGTACAACTAGGTGAGTACAGCTAGTGAGTACAGCTAGTGAGTACAGCTAGGTGAGTACAACTAGGTGAGTACAGCTAGGTGAGTACAGCTAGGTGAGTACAACTAGTGAGTACAGCTAGGTGAGTACAGCTAGGTGAGTTACAGCTAGGTGAGTACAGCTAGGTGAGTACAACTAGGTGAGTACAGCTAGGTGAGTACAGCTAGGTGAGTACAGCTAGGTGAGTACAGCTAGGTGAGTACAGCTAGGTGAGTACAGCTAGGTGAGTACAGCTAGGTGAGTACAGCTAGGTGAGTACAGCTAGGTGAGTACAGCTAGGTGAGTACAGCTAGGTGAGTACAGCTAGGTGAGTACAGTAGGTGAGTACAGCTAGGTGAGTACAGCTAGGTGAGTACAGCTAGGTGAGTACAGCTAGGTGAGTACAACTAGGTGAGTACAGCTAGGTGAGTACAGCTAGGTGAGTACAACTAGGTGAGTACAGCTAGGTGAGTACAGCTAGGTGAGTACAGCTAGGTGAGTACAGCTAGGTGAGTACAACTAGGTGAGTACAGCTAGGTGAGTACAGCTAGGTGAGTACAGCTAGGTGAGTACAGCTAGGTGAGTACAGCTAGGTGAGTACAGCTAGGTGAGTACAGCTAGGTGAGTACAACTAGGTGAGTACAGCTAGGCGAGTACAGCTAGGTGAGTACAGCTAGGCGAGTACAGCTAGGTGAGTACAGCTAGGTGAGTACAGCTAGGTGAGTACAGCTAGGTGAGTACAGCTAGGTGAGTACAGCTAGGTGAGTACAGCTAGGTGAGTACAGCTAGGTGAGTACAGCTAGGTGAGTACAGCTAGGTGAGTACAACTAGGTGAGTACAGCTAGGTGAGTACAGCTAGGTGAGTACAGCTAGTGATACAGCTAGGTGAGTACAGCTAGGTGAGTACAGCTAGGTGAGTACAATTAGGTGAGTACAGCTAGGTGAGTACAGCTAGGTGAGTACAACTAGGTGAGTACAGCTAGGTGAGTACAGCTAGGTGAGTACAGCTAGGTGAGTACAGCTAGGTGAGTACAGCTAGGTGAGTACAGCTAGGTGAGTACAGCTAGGTGAGTACAGCTAGGTGAGTACAGCTAGGTGAGTACAGCTAGGTGAGTACAGCTAGGTGAGTACAACTAGGTGAGTACAACTAGGTTAGTACAGCTAGGTGAGTACAGCTAGGTGAGTACAACTAGGTTAGTACAGCTAGGTGAGTACAGCTAGGTGAGTACAACTAGGTGAGTACAGCTAGGTGAGTACAGCTAGGTGAGTACAGCTAGGTGAGTACACACACACGCACATATTTACGTAAACGTAAGTTTCCATCACTGTCTCTATCATCATTATTATTATTATAATCAAAAAGAAGCGCTAAACCACAAGGGCTATACAGCGCTGCTGACCCTATCATAGCCAAGGAAAAACACCTTAAAATAATAAAAAAAAACACCTTAAAATCAAACAATGGTGTCATACAAACAGTGTAATACGCTTCTCTTTATTCATTATTAGGTAGGCCTGAAAAAGAATACCAGTGATTGCCTCAATTTTTTCAGCATTTTTCTCGTTTTCTTGCGATAGTTTTTAGAATACTTCTTCCGATCAGCTTCAGACTTTCAACAAAGTTAAAGTTACTAATAAATTTATCACAAAGCCTAAGAATGCAGTTTACATAGTTACATAACTTAAGATGTAGGTTTAATTAGTGTTAGTAAAATCATTGTCTGACCACAGTAGGCCTTAAGATGGCAACATAGGTGACAGGGTAGACCCAGGATCGTTCAAATTTTGGTCGGTAAGGAAGTCACTTTGTAGGATTATGGGAGCGAGATTTATGTGGCTTAGTGTGACCAAGGTGGGAGATAATTTAGTTTATTATGAAGGAAGCGCTGTAGCTCAGGAAGCGCTGTAATTCAGGAAGCGCTGTAACTCAGGAAGCGCTGTAATTCAGGAAGCGCTGTAACTCAGGAAGCGCTGTAATTCAGGAAGCGCTGTAATTCAGGAAGCGCTGTAATTCAGGAAGCGCTGTAACTCAGGAAGCGCTGTAACTCAGGAAGCGCTGTAACTCAGGAAGCGCTGTAACTCAGGAAGCGCTGTAACTCAGGAAGCACTGTAACTCAGGAAGCGCTGTAATTCAGGAAGCGCTGTAACTCAGGAAGTGCTGTAACTCAGGAAAGCTGCTAACTCAGGAAGCGCTGTAACTCAGGAAGCGCTGTAACTCAGGAAGCGCTGTAACTCAGGATGCGCTGTAACTCAGGAAGCGCTATAGCTCAGTGACTTACCAGCTTGTCGTAGTATTATTACCCTTTACAGACGCTATAAGAATGAAGAATCTGCACATTGTAAACATCCTTAACATTACTTCGGTTATAACCCGCTTTAAGTGAACATATTAAGTACAGTCATTGTGAGTCGCGTAAACGCCTTTTCTACACGATATGAAAATTGAAATATAAAAGTAGTTGTTAAGTTGTTAATGTTTTACTTTAAAATCATAGTAACTTATATTTGTAATGAATATTTTAAGCCTGCATTGTTACGCAGCAAAACCCATCATTATTAGAACACCAGTTATGTGAACTATGGCACTTCCCTTGTTGTCTGTAGAGCAAAAATCTACATTATTTCTTCTACTCCACTTTGGTGCCTGTTGGTTAGCCGCTCGTTTCTGGGTCTCGAATATCATCAGCACAGAGTTGTTGGATAGTACAAGAGCGAAATCTCGTTAGGCACAGTCGTCAACGACTTGAGAAGTCTGACCCTGAATCTTTATGACTGAACCTAAAGTCCAAGTGGCACAGTGTTGGGCCTTTGTCAAGAGCTTCTTGGCCACTTCTTCATTATTCCAAGACTCACTTGTGAGGTACGCCTCCAATGGAGTGCGATGGTCGAATACCTTGCCATTCTGTTGCTTCAGGGCATTTGCGGGACGCGAGAAGTTGATCATGGCTTCTTTAGTCTTGTACACGATCATTAAAGAGGGCAAACCACGCCACGTTCTCTGAGAAATACCACAAAAGCTGACTAAACACCTTGATGGCCTCCTCCCTGAGTTTGTGTCCAGGGTACTTGTGGAAGGAGAGCATAGGTTTAAGTCGTCGAGTGGTGCTCTCATCAAGTAGTCAGAGGCACGATGAGAGAACAATCGATTGCCATTATGTCACGTGTTCCGCACACTTGGCTTCATTTGCCCCTTGAACGAAACAATCTCTAACGATTAAATGGCCTTTGATATCCATTGCGTGTGGTGCTCTACGCCAGCACCAGGAAGTGTGGCTCATCAGCAGAGAATCTTCCAGGATTACTTACTCCCACAGACCTACAACTCGCATACCCCTACAACTCATTCCTACACCCTACAACTTACCCATACACCTTCAAATAATTTCCACTCACTGCAACTCGCTTCCATACCCTTGCAACTCACTCTCCCAACCCTGCATCTCTCCCTCTCTCATTGGTAGGGTAAGTGTTATTGAAAGCAAGAGATGCCTCTCTCCTGGTTGTGCAGTGACCGTGATACCTCTGCTTATATTAAGAATATGTAAAACAGTGTTACAATTTTAGGACAATCCGATTGATAAGTAATGTTGATTGATTTATTAAATTTAAGGTCTACTGGCTACACAAGGATCATTAAAGCCGTATATTGCATCCACACTACCAGCCTAGACAACTTTTTTCCTCAGATTGTAAAATTAAAGTAAACTGGGTCCCTGGGTAGGCCTAACCTTTATCTTTGATGAGTTCCGAGATTTTTTCTATTCCCATAAAATGTAGATAAATGGTTCCGGGAACCGACAAGTTGATAAATTAGACACATGTGCAGCAGCACTTGGGTATCTTTATTGTGGAAACGTGTCACCACACAGTGGCTCCATTGGACTGATGAAGTCACTGTGTGGCGAAACGTTGCCATATTTAAGATACCCAAGTGCTGCTGCACATGTGTCTAATATATGTACTGGTAGAGCCGGGCCCAGGCCCCTCCTATCCTCCAGTGTGTCACGGTATCCATCTTCCTGCAGGTGAGATGGCGTCATGTTGTGTGGGGTATGGGGCTGCAGTTCCTGCTGGGCTTGATAATCCTCAGGTGGTCGTTGGGTCGTGCTATCTTCCAGTGTGTGGCTGACAAAGTCTCCGCCTTCCTGGCCACCACAGACGCCGGCTCTGAGTTCGTCTTCGGAGACGTTGCCGCAGTCATGAAAGTCTTTGCTTTTTCGGTAAGTAAAATATAATGTAATAAAGTTGGTAGAATTACCGACAATATGTAAAGTAAAAGGACACAAGTGCAACTAATGTGACATTTATTGTGGCAACGTTTCGCTCTCCAGGAGCTTTATCAAGCCATTACGGCTTGATAAAGCTCCTGGAGAGCGAAACGTTGCCACAATAAATGTCACATTAGTTGCACTTGTGTCCTTTTACTTTACATAAAATATAATGAACAACCCTATTAACATTCAACACTCAAAACACTTCCAAAAGTCTCAACATTAACAACATTACCACCACTCAACACTCACAACTTGGAACTGGAAATAGCTATATTATTATTATTATTATTATTATTATTATTATTATTATTATTATTATTGTTATTATTATTGTTATTATTATTATTATAGATTAAGCCCCAAACCCGAAAGGGCAATTGAGCAAAGTAGCTGTAGTATATAGGTTAATCTTGTGTTATGGGCAATTGTGTTGACGAAAGGTCAAACATTGCATTGATTGTATAAGTTTTTCTTTTTGTCGTGTTTACCTTTTTTAATATTTGGTTTTTATTTGTCGTTTAAGTCAGTGATTCCCAGAGTGGGTGGCACCGTCCCTCTGGGGGGCGGTGGAAAGATTCAGGGGGGCGTTGAGGAAAAAAAGGGCGATAAGGGGGCGGCAACAGAGCCAAGGGATCGTTTAACAAAATCCGTATGAGAAAATCTAAGTCACGAATACTTTAGAAACACAAACGCTTTACAAAGAATAAAATTAACAGGAATGGAAGAGGAAGAACTGATTTCACTCCAAAATGACACCGAGCTAATATTAAAGTTCAAAAAATCATATCAAGAATTTTGGCCAAAAAAACGTTTCTACCCTGCATTGTGGAACAAAGTCAAGATGTACTTTATTGCCCTCCTAACATTATATTTAGTACAGCGAGGCTTCACCGCAGTCACCAAGCTTCCTAACATTATATTTAGTAGAGCGAGGCTTCAGTGCAGTCACCAAGCTTCCTAACATTATATTTAGTAGAGCGAGGCTTCAGTGCAGTCACCAAGCTTCTTTCCAAGTTAGTGAATGCAGGGATCTAAGACTTGTTGTTAGTTCCTTCAAGTCTGATAAGCTGATATTCCTTCACCAAGTACATCCATCTCATTACAGCTGTGAAGACAACGTTGTTACAGATGAGATGTAAATTTACTCTTTATATTGTTAAACTGGTTTGCTGTGTTAATTTTTATTTGTGAAATAAATATGCTTGTTTATCATGTTAAATTAGTTACTGTTGTTTTGAATTTGCAGTAAATCTAATACCTAGCAACCCCCCTCCCCTGGGAGCCGGGGGGGGGTTGCTAGGGGTGTGGCCTGGGAGCCAGGGGAGGGGGGTTGCTAGGGGTGTGGCCTGGGAGCCAGGGGGGGTTGCTAGGGGTGTGGCCTGGGAGCCAGGGGGGGTTGCTAGGGGTGTGGCCTGGGAGCCAGGGGGGGTTGCTAGGGGTGTGGCCTGGGAGCCAGGGGGGGTTGCTAGGGGTGTGGCCTGGGAGCCAGGGGGGGGTTGCTAGGGGTGTGGCCTGGGAGCCAGGGGGGGGTTGCTAGGGTGTGGCCTGGGAGCCACGACGGGGGTTGCTAGGGGTGTGGACCTGGGAGCCAGGGGGGGTTGCTAGGGGTGTGGCCTGGGAGCCAAGGGGGGTTGCTAGGGGTGTGGCCTGGGAGCCTGGGGGGGTTGCTAGGGGTGTGGCCTGGGAGCCAGGGGGGGTTGCTAGGGGTGTGGCCTGGGAGCCAGGGGGGTTTGCTAGGGGTGTGGCCTGGGAGCCAGGGGGGGTTGCTAGGGGTGTCTAGCCGGGTTGAGGGGTGCCGGGGGGGGGTTGCTAGAGGGAGGGGGTTGCTAGGGGTGTGGCCTGGGAGCCAGGGGGGGTTGCTAGGGGAGTGGCCTGGGAGTCAGGGAGGGGGTTGCTAGGGGTGTGGCCTGGGAGCCCGGGGGAGGGGTTGCTAGGGGTGTGGCCTGGGAGCCCGGGGGGGGTTTGCTAGGGGTGTGGCCTGGGAGCCAGGGGGGTTGCTAGGGGAGTGGCCTGGGAGTCAGGGGAGGGGGTTGCTAGGGGTGTGGCCTGGGAGCCAGGGGGGGGGTTGCTAGGGGTGGCCTGGGAGCCAGGGGAGGGGTTGCTAGGGGTGTGGCCTGGGAGCCAGCGGGGGGGTTGCTAGGGAGTGGCCTGGGAGCCAGGGGAGGGGTTGCTAGGGGTGTGGCCTGGGAGCCAGGGGGGGTGTAGCTAGGGGTGTGCCTAGGGAGCCAGGGGGGTTGCTAGGGGTGTGGCCTGGGAGCCAGGGGGGGTTGCTAGGGGATGTGGCCTGGGAGCCAGGGGGGGTGGCTAGGGGAGTGGCCTGGGAGCCAGGGGGGGGTTGCTAGGGGAGTGGCCTGAGAGCCAGGGGGGGTTGCTAGGGGAGTGGGCCTGGGAGCCAGGGGTGGGTTGCTAGGGGAGTGGCCTGGGAGCCAGGGGGGGGTTGCTAGGGGTGTGGCCTGGGAGCCAGGGGGGGGTTGCTAGGGGTGTGGCCTGGGAGCCAGGGGGGTTGCTAGGGTGTGGACTGGGAGCCAGGGGGGGGGTTGCTAGGGGTGTGGCCTGGAGCCAGGGGGGGTTTGCTAGGGGGTGGCCTGGGAGCCAGGGGGGGGTTGCTAGGGTGTGGCCTGGGAGCCACGGGGGGTTGCTAGGGTGTGGCCTGGGAGCCACGGGGGTTGCTAGGGGTGTGGCCTGGGAGCCAGGGGGGGGGTTGCTAAGGGTGTGGCCTGGGAGCCATGGGGGGGGGTTTGCTAGGGGTGTGGCCTGGGAGCCAGGGGGGGGTTGCTAGGGGTGTGGCCTGGGAGCCACGGGGGGTTGCTAGGGGTGTGGCCTGGGAGCCAGGGGGGGTTGCTAGGGGTGTTGGCCTGGGAGCCAGGGGGGGGTTGCTAGGGGTGTGGCCTGGAAGGCAGGGGAGGGGGGGGGCGCCAACCTGAAAAACTTTGGAAACCACAGTCGAATTGCTCTAAAAGTTCCACAAGTTAAGAGAATGATCACTTGAGGAACAAATTTTGAGTCAAACTAAAATCTGCCGTTATTACCAACACACTTAAAAAAATACTTTTATGATTTATTGTTTGTAACGGCTTGACAAAGCTGCTGGAGAGCGAAACGTTGCCACAATAAAAATGTCACATTAGTTGCACTTGTGTCCTTTGACTTTACATACTGTCAAGTCTAACTTGAAAACACATCTCGTTTAGAACTTTTGATCCAGATATCATGAAATTAATATTTCTTCAGCATTGTACATTTATGGCACCAATTGGTGTGTGAACCCCACCCATACCACGGGTGGGGTTAGAACCCGCGATCACAGAGTCAAAAAACTCAAAACCGACGCGTTAGCCACTGGACCAGGAGTTTTATGACTCTGATCGCAGGTTCTAACCCCACCCTTGGTATAACTTATTTACAATCGTGTCATTACGATTTCGTGAGTCATTCTTGAAAGAACAAGCGATAACGAATAACAAAATCCTAAATTATAAGCATTATTATATACCGTAATTTTAATATGAATGATGTTCTTTGATATGGAAGTTCTACCAAAGGCAGGATTTGGGAATACTCTTGATCCAAGGAATTAAAGCTACCTGCTTTGACTAGACCTGATTACCTCCTGTTTCCAGATAATGTTTGTCCCTTACAGGTTAAACACTCATGAATACTATGATAATAATTATTGGTATATAATTAATACTAACGATTTATAATTATTAATAAAGAACAAATAATAACTTCATTAGTAATTATAAATAATAATTACCACGCTACTGCTTTACTTAGAAGTGAAAAAACAATAACGGGTAATGAAGATGAGAAAGTAACTAAGAACTGAGAAAATATTATCAGCAGCAGTATTGATCTTGTGGAAAATTGCATTTATCTGAATGTATCATTATGTACATAACAGTAAATGAACAAAATAATTATTATTTATCAGTTAGACAAGTAGGAATTTGGGACACCTCGGTCGCAAAAAATGTCCCCCTTCGATACCTACCACTGTCATATCCACAAGTTGCTCTGGATCTATTAATTACAAATGAAAAATACATCACCAGGAATGCTGGTAAATATATAAATTTGTGGACTGTATATTAAATTAAAAAATGATTATATATAAACACATTTATATAACAGAAGGAGAATATATCTTAATCATAACACTCACCAATTTGACTGGATATTAATGTGTCACGTACAGGACCTCCTCCACCCCTTTTGCCTACATTTATGAAAAATTTTCTGGCCAGAATTTAAACATAAATTAGACAGCTTATCTGAGGTTCCTGGAGTTGTCCTGTCCTGTCGCTATACTCAAGTTATGCAGGAATGCACATCCAACAATTTCGTCTCCTATTTGAGAGGTGTCAATCCAATTTTAACTTCTAGAGCACGAAAAATTCTTGCCAATATTCACTAACGGTTGACCAGTTCAAACAGCAATGGCGAGTGTCCTTCTGTGCAGGTGCAGCTTCCCGTTTTTTATGACATAAATATTATCAAATACAGTATGGCCATCTATTTACATATAACTACTGTATTTCTGGAAAATATATACAGTATTTTCCACAGATCTAATAATAATAATAATAATAATAATAATAATAATTATAAAAATAATAATAATAATGACAATAAAACTATATCTTATTTCACAGAGAGCTAATTTCAAGGAAAATATAACCACATAATTAAAAAAAAAACGTGATTCCTGAAGTATGTGAGTGTTGCAGGTACTGCCAGTGACTGTATACTTCAGCTTGTTCCTGAAGTATGTGAGTGTTGGAGGTACTGCCAGTGACTGTATACTTCAGCTTGTTCCTGAAGTATGTGAGTGTTGCAGGTACTGCCAGTGACTGTAGTACTTCAGCTTGTTCCTGAAGTATGTGACTGTTGCAGGTACTGCCAGTGACTGTGTACTTCAGCTTGTTCCTGAAGTATGTGAGTGTTGCAGGTACTGCGAGTGACTGTGAACTTCAGCTTGTTCCTGAAGTATGTGACTGTTGCAGGTACTGCCAGTGACTGTGTACTTCAGCTTGTTCCTGAAGTATGTGACTGTTGCAGGTACTGCCAGTGACTGTGTACTTCACTTGTTCCTGAAGTATGTGAGTGTTGCAGGTACTGCCAGTGACTGTGTACTTCAGCTTGTTCCTGAAGTATGTGAGTGTTGCAGGTACTGCCAGTGACTGTGTACTTCAGCTTGTTCCTGAAGTATGTGAGTGTTGCAGGTACTGCCAGTGACTGTGTACTTCAGCTTGTTCCTGAAGTATGTGAGTGTTGCAGGTACTGCCAGTGACTGTACTTCAGCTTGTTCCTGAAGTATGTGAGTGTTGCAGGTACTGCCAGTGACTGTGTACTTCAGCTTCTTCGTCCAGATCTTGTACTACTTGGGAGTGATGCAGTGGGTGGTGATCAAGCTGGGCTGGTTCCTGCAGGTCACAGTGGGCACCACTGCCTGTGAGAGTGTCAATGCTGCTGGTAATATCTTTCTTGGTCAGGTAAGCTTCCTCTGTCTAGTGTCCACATATCTTGTCAGTAAACTTCCTCTGCCAAGCCACAGCATCATTGTTGGTTATTCAGAAAAACCCAGCTTATCGTATTATTTCTCGTTGTTCTTGGCGAGGTGCCTCCATAGACTATTATTGTTGTTGTGATACGAGTAATCGTGACTAATCAGCTTTCTCTAAAATGTGTATTCGTTCAATAGGTTATTTTCTTCCCCCAAGGTTCTTATTTTAACTTGAGCACGCCACATTCCAGCTGCTTTCATTTTTTAACGCTGGTATACCTAACTAGGAAAAGGTTCAAGGAACCTTTGAAATGTACAGAATCCCTTTGACATTTTATAAACCTTAAAGCAACTTTGGCTTATGTGATAAAACCCGTCAAGGGAGGTTCCTTGATGCTGGTGAGGGGCTCTTGATCTAGAGAATTGGATCTGTGCTCCGGTTCCCTGAATTGAGTCTGAATACCTTCCATCCCTCCTCCCCACATGCGCTGTATAATCCTACGGGTTTAGCGCTCCCCCATGATTATAATAATTTGTGTGATAACTTTAGGAAAGCCTCTTCTGATAGCTACAGACTTTCATATCATGTGCATCCTGCTTAGAAGAATATTAGAATTGTTATCGGAGTGTACACGGGCTCATTTGTTAATTTTCTACTTAAATTGATATATCATAATGTTGCCTCGTAACTTTTGAAAGTCCGTTTCGAGCCGCCTAAATCATTTTAGTTACATTGCCTCATAATTTATGAACTGTGAAAATGGCTCACGAAAATCACAATAAGTTTTTAAAAATTCAAGGAAAGTATAGGATTTAAAGAAAATCAGTGCCGAAGATATGTTAATTCCCAAGAAATAGTAGCTAAAAAAAACCATACCTCGGGTGGGATAGAACCTGCGGTCAGAGAGTCTCAAAACTCCAGACCGTCGCGTTAGCTACTGGACCAGCTAGCCACAATAAGATTCGTCCAACTAGGTATATTTCTACACCATAGGAAGGTTAGTTGGACGAATCTTATTGTGGCTAGCTGGTCCAGTGGCTAACGCGACGGTCTGGAGTTTTGAGACTCTCTGATCGCGGGTTCTATCCCCACCCGTGGTATGGTTTGTTTGCAATCGTGTCATTACGATTTCGTGAGTAATAGTAACTCCTACTGATGGAACTAAACCTTTGAAGTTCCAGTAGCTGCTGAACATTTAATAGAGTGATAAGGCACGCATAACGTTATTTAGAGGTAGTTTTCACTTATAGCAGTTCCTGGCCCTCTTACAACTCCTCGGCATTTTGATGGTATTAATTTTTTATTTACAACTCCTCGGCATTTTGAAGATGTTAAGCTACAAGTACTAAACTTTTGACTCATAGTTAACTTGAGGTATTAATTTTCAGCTTCCAAGCCTCTTACATGGTCTTAGATGTGTTAAGTCGGACTCCAGGTCCTAAGACTCTTCACGGTTCTGAGACAGCTATTATATAATGCCTCTAGAATGCACTTAAGATGACTGAGGTTATAAAATATTGGGAATATCTTTCTCGGATTGCCCATCGACCGTAGACAGTCTAAACCAGTCTAAACTAAGAAACAAAATAAAACAGAATTTAATGGATTCACAATTTTTAAGTCCTTTCAGCAGTACATTTACATTTTATTTTTTTTATTTGGGATAATAGGCTCGCAGTTTGTGTGGGCCTATTTTGAGAACGGGCCTAGAGGTCCAGCTCAGTAAGTCCCCGCCCTGAATGACCATTTTTAGGCGGAGTTTTTCCCCCATAGTCCTCTTTGGGTTTCAAGATTTCAGGATACTAATAGTGTATGTAGACATTTTATCACAGTACCTCACCTCAACATAAATGTTTTAATAACATTGATGTCTTATACATGGTTAATATGAGTAGGTTTACAGTGATGTGCTGCCTGAGCTGCTACTGTACTGTGCATCTCATGTTTATCCTGTGAGCGGAAACGCAAATGAACAAAAACCGGATTACTGGGGTCACAACATGTCTTTATTAAACCCCACTGAGCATATTTCCATCATCACGATTTATTACAGTCGCTATACATGATTCATCCTCATTCTTCACCTACTAGACGGAGGCACCACTCATGATCAAGCCGTTCATGCCACTTATGACCAAGTCAGAACTGCATGCTGTCATGACGGGAGGTCTCGCTACCATCGCTGGCTCCGTCCTCGCCGCATACATTTCCTTCGGCGTTGATCCTGTCCACCTGATCTCCGCCTCCGTCATGAGCGCTCCGGCAGCTCTCGCCTTCGCCAAGCTCTTCTACCCAGAGACAAGAAAATCTAAAACTGGTGCCAGCGATGTGCATGTAGAAATAGGGTAGGTTCTTATGTTTTATTGTAATGTATTATTTCCAGAGACAATGACTATAATAACTATCGTGGTTATGAAATCATAATTATACAAACGTTGATATAATTTAAGATACATAAGTTATCATTGTGGTAGTATTATTAGAGAGTAAAGTACAATAAAGTAGAGGTCTGCAGTATCAAGATGATTTTCAGAGTTGTGTCTGACTGAAGCAAGACTTATTGATCTAACAAATGTATTCCTGTTTGTGTTCCACTCTGGTGGAAAATGGCCTTATGTTAGTAAGACAAAAGCAAAAGTTAATGGCAACTCAGTAATTTTATATCCAACATATAAAATATATTTCAGAATAGAAAGCGTATTATTAATATAAGACAACTTTCAATTTTGACAAAGAAATACATGAACCTGACACAGTATTTACCTGAAAATTAATTATGAAGATTTAAGCTTGTTAATAAGTTGTTGTTCTTTGAGATATATCCATAATTTTTGTAAGTAAAATTTTTTGATGCTTACATTTTCATATATACGGTGCCCACTATATATTTTAAGTTGTACACATCAAACAACAACATAGGTGTCGTGTTTCTCAGTGACACTTAAGTCACTCCTCGTGTAGGTTCTGGCATCCCACAGCTGCTCTTTATATACAAATTAATGAACACAACATTACTCGTGTATTTATAATTACCAAAAGAACTGAAACAGAGTGAAGCCGCTAGTCAAAGGCTCACTAACTCCAACACATTCAAATTTATCGTTAAAATTTAATTTATTAACACCTCACTTGACAGAGATGAAGCCAATGTGCTGCATGCAGCCATGGTAGGCGTGACGAACGCTATTCCCATTGTGGCTAACATAGCCGCCAATCTTATTGCTTTCATAGCTGCCATTGAGCTGTTCAACGAGGTCCTGAACTGGGCATGCATGTTGGCTGGTGCAGACGACGGCACATGCTCTCTGGAGGTCAGTAGCATACATAAAATAAATTGTAAATATATGTTAATATATATTGTAACTGTCAGAAAATTTATCGCTATACGTACCTGACAAGCAGTAGGGGAGGAAGAATGCCATAATCCTAAGAAACTGGCGAGAACTCTGGCAGACTGTACAACTGTAGTGTAAAGCACCCTTCTGGCAAGACAGTGATGGAGTGAATGATGGTGAAAGTTTTTCTTTTTCGGGCCATCCTGCCTTGGTGGGAATCGGCCAGTGTGTTAATAAAAAATAATAATAATAATAACGTACCTGACAAGCAGTAGGGGAGGAAGAATGCCATATTCCTAAGAAACTGGCAAGAACTCTGGCAGACAGGTATGGACTTCAAACCCTCGTAGCCTCTTTCAAGGAAGGTGACGGGGTGCCGATGAGGGACTGTGGCTCACTTCACATTCAGTCCTCCTTTGTGGACTGAATCAGATTGTCTTTCAGTCCCTGGGACAAGTAATGCTTCAGTGTTATACTGTAGATGTGATCTAACAGTCTTCAAGCTGGCACTGGACAAGCACCTAAAGTCGGTTCCTGACCAGCCGGGCTGTGGCTCGTACGTTGGTTTGTGTGCAGCCAGCAGCAACAGCCTGGTTGATCAGGCTCTGATCCACCAGGAGGCCTGGTCACAGACCGGGCCGAGGGGGCGTTGACCCTCGTAACTCTCTCCAGGTAAACTCCAGGTAACACCTGTGACAAGTAATGCTTCAGTGTTATGCTGAAGATGTGATCTAACACCTGTGACAAGTAATGATTCAGTGTTATGCTGAAGATGTGATCTAACACCTGTGACAAGTAATGATTCAGTGTTATGCTGAAGATGTGATCTAACACCTGTGACAAGTAATGATTCAGTGTTATGCTGAAGATGTAAATCTAACACCTGTGACAAGTAATGATTCAGTGTTATGCTGAAGAATGTGATCTAACACCTGTGACAAGTAATGATTCAGTGTTATGCTGAAGATGTGATCTAACACCTGTGACAAGTAATGATTCAGTGTTATGCTGTAGATGTGATCTAACACACTGTGACAAGTAATGATTCAGTGTTATGCTGAAGATGTGATCTAACACCTGTGACAAGTAATGATTCAGTGTTATGCTGAAGATGTGATCTAACACCTGTGACAAGTAATGATTCAGTGTTATGCTGAAGATGTGATCTAACACCTGTGACAAGTAATGATTCAGTGTTATGCTGAAGATGTGATCTAACACCTGTGACAAGTAATGATTCAGTGTTATGCTGAAGATGTGATCTAACACCTGTGACAAGTAATGATTCAGTGTTATGCTGAAGATGTGATCTAACACCTGTGACAAGTAATGATTCAGTGTTATGCTGAAGATGTGATCTAACACCTGTGACAAGTAATGATTCAGTGTTATGCTGTAGATGTGATCTAACACCTGTGACAAGTAATGATTCAGTGTTATGCTGTAGATGTGATCTTACACTTGCAACTTGAGTCAGAATTTTGTGATCATATAAGATTACAATGAGAATGGATCACAAATCAGCAACCTTGGCTTCATTTTGGATCACATTGTAATGAATATCAATTAGTAAGAGAGTTTTGCTTAGTTTTACAATTTATCTAACGTGAAATTTTATTGTATTTCAACAAAGTTAGAAACGAAAAAGAGAGATAGCCACAGCCACAGCACAAATATATATGTTTTTTATTAACACATCGGCCGTCTCCCACCAAGGCAGGGTGACCCGAGAAAGAAAACTTTCATCATTCACTCCATCACTGTCTTGCCAGATGCATGCTTACACTACAGTTATAAAACTGCAACATTAACACCCCTTCTTCAGAGTGCAGACACTGTACTTCCTATCTCCAGGACTCAAGTCTGGCCTGCCGGTTTCCCTGAATCCCTTCATAAATGTTATCTTGCTTATACTCCAACAGCACGTCAAGTCCTAGAAACCATTTGTCTCCATTTGCTCCTATCTAACACGCTCACACACGCTTGCTGGAAGTCCAAGCCTCTCGCACGGAAAACCTCCTTTACCCCCTCCCTCCAACCTTTCCTAGGCCGACCCCTATCCCGCCTTCCCTCTCCTACACATTTATACACTCTCGAAGTCATTCTGTTTTGTTCCACCCTCTCTACATGTCCAAACCATCTCAATAACCCCTCCTCAGCCCTCTGGACAACAGCTTTGGTAATCCCACACCTCCTGATCTCCAAACTACGGATTCTCTGCATTATATTCACACCACACATTGCCCTCAGACATGACATCTTCACTGCCTCTAGCCTTCTCCTTGTTGCAACATTCACAACCCATGCCTCACACCCATACAAGAGCGTTGATATAACTATACTCTCATACATTTCCCTCTTTGCTTTCATGGATAAAGTTCTTTGTCTCCACAGACTCCTCAGTGCACCACTCACCTTTTTCCCCTCGTCAGTTGTATGATTTACCTCATCTTTCATAGACCCATCTGCTGACACGTCCACTCCCAAATATCTGAATACATTCACCTCGTCCATACTCTCTCCCTCCAGTCTGATATCCAATCTTCTGTTACCTAATTTTTTTTATCCTCATCACCTTGCTCTTTCCTATATTCACTTTTAATTTCCTTCTTTTACATACCCTACCAAACTCATCCACCAGCCTCTGCAACTTCTCTTCAGAATCTACCAAAAGCACAGTGTCATCAACAAAGAGCAACTGTGAAAACTCCCACTTTGTGTTAGAATATCTTTTAACCCCACACTTCTTGTCAACATCCGAGCATTCACTTCTCTTACAACTCTATCTATAAATATATTGAACAATCATGGTGACATCACACATCCTTGTCTAAGGCGCCTACTTTTACTGGGAAATAAGCTCCCTCTCGCCTACATACTCTAACCTGAATCTCACTACCCTCGTAAAGACACTTATCTTTGGCGTTTAGGTGTGGGACCGGAATGGCTCCGACGTGGTATGGGCGAATGATCCGAAAATTGCCGCACCGTAGAGAAAGAATCGGGAAGCATAGTCAAAGAAGAGCGGAGGTCAAAAGTATCGAAGGAGTGAGTAGAAATCCCTGGTACCTGAAGTGGGTGACGAAACGGCACAGCAAGAGATACAGGGGCATTAGGAATGTCCAAAGGGTGGTCATACAACGAGGCAGGGCCGAAACAGGGTGCCCAGGGGGGATAAGGTTCATGGATTTGGGACTCCATGGTTAGGTCACTTCTTTCTTGTTTTGTAGAAAAAGCAGGGAAAGAAAAAAAAAAGAATAAAAAGGGGAGGAATATGGAATAATAGCTCCTAGGAGGCAAAGAAAGGGCCGCAAATCTCTCTCTGCGCCCAAGATGACCCAAGCACCGCAAGTAACGCAGATGCGGCATGGAACTCGTGCCATAACTTACCCTTCATGCCAGTAAACTAGCAATCCGGGATAACAACCTCACATCCGCCGAGCCACCTCGGTGGACAAGAGAGGGCGGCCAGACACCTGCCACAAAGCATACCTCCTACGGCCTCCACATCCTGGAATCCGACAGGCAGCCTTCAGAGATACCCGAAACCTGAGAGAAACCCAAAGCCACCCCCTGGGAGACCGGAGAGGGATCAGGACACCTCCAGTTGATCCAGATTTCTCGGCAAACTACACCACCACCAAGGCGTCAACGGAATGGGATGAACCATGGTGCCCTTCCCCCTACCTAGGAACTAGAGTACCTGTGGGAAGAATCCCAAAAGATGAAAATAGAAAGGGAATAGGGAAGGGATGAGGAGGAGGAGGAGGAGGAAAAGGATATAGGGAGGATGAGTAGAGAAGGGGGAGATAGCGGGGTAAGTAGGTTTGGTCTGAGAAAGGAGACCAAAAGGTCTAATTCCTAAGACCAAGAACTTCTTCACCACGCCAAGGAGTCCCCTGAAAGAGGTACTTGCTCACAACCTATACACTAAACACTGGTGTAGGTAACGTCCCAACACTGGTGTAGGTAACGTCCCAACGCTGGTGTAGGTAACGTCCCAACACTGGTGTAGGTAACGTCCCAAACGTGGTGTAGGTAACGTCCCAACGCTGGTGTAGGTAACGTCCCAACACTGGTGTAGGTAACGTCCCAACACTGGTGTAGGCAACGTCCCAACACTGGTGTAGGTTGCGCGCGTTCCCAACACTAGTGTAAGGACAACGGTCCCAATCACCGGTGTATGTAAACGTCCAACACTAGTGTAGAGCAACGCTCCCAACACTGGTGTAGTTAACGTCCGCACGTCTGGTGTAGGTAACCGTCCAACACTGGTGTATGTAACTGTCGCCCAACGCTGGTGTAGGGTAACGTGTCCCCAACACTGGAGTAGTGTAACGTCCCGAACGCTGGTGTAAGGTAAACGATCCCAGACCACTGTGTAGGTAACGACCCAACACTAGTGTATTAACGTCCCAACACATGTGTAGGTTAACGTCCCAACCACTGGTGTAGATAAACGTCACAACACTGGTGTAGGTAACGTTCCCTAACATCTGGTGTAGGGAACGTCTCCAACACTGGTGAAGATAGCGTCCACAACACTGGTGTAGATAACGACCCGCAACACTGGATATAGGTAAACGTCCCAACACTTGGTGTAGCAACGTCACCAAACACTGTTGTAGATAACGTCCCAACACTGGTGTAGGTAACGTTCCAACACTGGGTGTATGGTAACGACCCAACACTGTTGGTAGGTAACGTCCCCCAACACTGGTGTAGGTAACGTCCCAAAAACTGTGTAGATAGACGTTTCACACTGGTGTAGGTAACGTCCCACACTGGTTTAGAATAACGTCCCAACACTGGTGAGGTAACCGTCCCAACACAGGTAAAGAAAACGTCCCAAAACTGGTGTAGGGAACGTCCCAAAACTGGTGTAGATAAACTCCCAACTCTGGTGAAGGTAACGTCCCAAAACACTAGTGTAGGTAACGTTTCAAACATGTTAGGTAACGTCCTCCCAACACGGTAGTAGGAAACGATCCCAACACTGGATGTAATGTAACGATCCACACTGACAGGTAATGTCCCAACCTGCGTTGGTAACGTCCCCAACAACTGGTGT